TCTTCAGGACAAAACACTGCACGCCCCCAAGTACCGGGCCCAGTGGGTGTTTACCCCACTCCTCTGGTCAGCAGGCAGGGGAGGGAACAAGGCGCAGGACAGATTTGCAACCCTCAGATTTCGGAACAGGCGGCAACCTGCGTGGCTAACAGAGTATAGCAAAAAGGGGACTGGGCTCAACCAAGCAAGGCAGGCCCCTGTCTTGTTTTCAGCAAGGCAGGAGACCCCTGACTCTTCCGCAAGTCAGGAGGAGGGATGTCCCTCCCGTACTGGAGGAAAATAGAAGGAGGAAGAGGAGGGGGAGATTTAACCGCAGTTGCAGGACTGACTCCCTCCCTGGGGGCAGCGACTCCCACCAGAGCTGGAGAACAGTTTAAAAGGCTGTATGGCTCAGACGAGGGGGGGTGTGCATCCACATCCCCCTCCGCTCAGAGGCCACCTGAGCGTTTCAAATTGAGCAATCAGAAATCAAACCACCCAGAAAGAGAAAGCACTTTAAAAAAATTGTCCTACGTGATTTGCCCAAGATCACGCAACACAATGCACAGAACTCAGGGTCTTCTGGCTACTCCAAGCCCGAAGATGTGCTTGGGGGAAGGTCACAATCAGATCAAAGCTCATCTGCCATACTGTGCAAGGGAGAGGAGACACACCTAGAGCTCGGGGCTAAAGCGGGGAGGAATGGCCAGAGCTATTTAGTTTGACTGAAACATTGCCTAAAACATTTTCTCCAGACCTTATTTACACTGCGAAGTTTTGAACATCAGTTTCACCCAGAGGAAAAAGAAGATATTTATATTTAATGGACAACATTTAAGCTCCTTTAAAATGAGCTGAGAGGTTGCAGTTGGAATGGAGAGAAAATCCTAACTGCCCTGGCACAAAGCAGCAGTGCTGCTATTGCAGGGAAGCTGGCATCTGTAACTAGACTGAGGTTTTGGGTCTAGCTCAGCCTGGGTTGCACCCCAGGATCAGTATGCTGGTCTACGGATGGTACCAAGGCAGTTCCCAGGCAGCCCTATGGATGTGTAGGAATTCCCATTTGTGTGCCCAGGGCAGAGGGATGAGTACAGGGAGAAGGAGGGAAAACAAAAAAAAAACCCTGTGTAAAGATAGATCGACACATTTCCAGATTTTCAGTACATCTGTCAACAAGCCCCAGAGTATATGGCAGCTAATCCCTTTGCAGATTTTCTTTTAACTGTTGCTTGACAGAAGAGTATGCCAATTTTTTCATAAACGTCCCTACGTCTGAAGTCACGCTCCGCCTGAGGTTATGATCTATCAGTGAGGAAAAACATTACACTGCCAGCTTGGGAAATGACATCAGGGAAACATCTTGCTGAGAAACATGCAGCAGCTTCAAGCTTTGGAGTGTGTGCAGAGCAAAAGACGTTTCCTGAGGGTGAAGAAGGCCAGAGGCGAGGGGACTACCCGACTGGATAATCTCAGCACTCCCACCTTCTCCGACACCCCTGTCGGTTGCCGGCTCGCTCCCAGACTGAGCAAAGCCAGTGCAGGGGAGAGGGCTGGCGCTGCAGGGCTGAGCTGATGGTCAGCCCTGGCTTCAAACCCCTGCTAGAGAGCTGCAGAAGTCCTTCCGCATGTCCCCTTCAGACACAGCTGGAGCGACAGCACGACTCGGCGCGCGCGCTTCAGGATCTGTGAGAGCAAAGAGCTAGAATAATGCAAAGCTTCATTTGTTCCTGATTTAATTCTCAAACGCTGTGTTTTGTGGAGTTCAGCTGTTGCATTGGTCATCTGCTAAGGTCAAGCAGAGAGCAGTCCATAAGACTATTCTTCTGTGCTGCAGTGGTAAAATGTCTTGGTTCTGACATGGGCACGCACAAATTTCAGGGGCAGAGAGCCCTTCGGTGCCAAGAGGACTGGGTTTATTAAGCACGGATGACATAGGCAAGGCCCCCGGTACTCCTCAGCAAGCTGCTGTAGGCTCAGCTCTGTGGCCAGCAAGAGCTGCAGCAGCTGCTGCTGGGATCTTCCAAGCTTCTGTAGGCTCTGCCTGAAGTACACGCAGCAATGAACACATTGTTTTTCTGCTTTCTAATCCTACGTACCAAAATCAAGCTCAAGTCCTGGGTTTGTGATGTTTCGCCGGTTAATTCAGACCTCCCCACGCTTTGAGCAGGTGCCAAAATATGGCAGGTAAGTAAAACCTTGAATCCAAACCTCTTGATTACTGATGGAGCAGCCGTTCATCCTTATTTTCTTTCCCCCTGGGAAGACAAGTGACATAGAAAAACGGACAAATGGACATTTCCATTATCAACATTTTTCAATGGCAAACAGCAAAAAAATGGGTGTTTCAGCAGTAAAAAGAAAAAAAAAAAATCACCCTTGCCAAATACACTTTTAGCCTCCCATCCCTCAAGACTTGCAGCTCCTGGTTGCACTTCACATTTTTCCACAGAATCATTCTGAGGAAAGAAAATCTATTTGCTGGCCCCATCTAATAATGTGAGACTTTTTGGGTGTGTCTGAATTCTTTCTGAACGGTCCTGGGCAACTGTACAAAAAAGAAAAACAATCTGTCAGCTGCTGTCATTTATCTTAAAACATTTCTTTCATCCAGTTAGCTATGATAAGCACTTTGATTGTTACTCTAGAAGAAATAAGTAATCATTAGGTTTCAGAGTCCACACCTTCATTTCTGTGATTGAAGCCAATTCGTATCTGTCTCAATATTGGCCTGACAGCAAGACAGCGGCTGATATCAGAAGTCAGCATTTTGCTGTGGGCGTTGGTCACTTTTATGTAAAAACCAAATGATTTGGGACTCATCTAAGAGGGAGAAGTCCAGAACGCCATGCTCTTACTCCCAGAATTGTTTTGCATTTTACATTTAAAAATGTTTATATAAACCCTAAAATATTAATGAAAGCAGGAAT